ACATTAAATGTAGTCCACTCTGGTTTGTTTCGAAATGTTATAAAATGTTATAAAATGTAAATCATCTGGTCTTATTTTAAAACGAGGAATCCCTAACTTTGACAATCCTGAGTTCGTTCCTTTTCCAAAGACGTTTTTTAAAATTTACTTTTATTCTCGAAAATTGTAAAAACTCAAACGACTCTAAAACCATCGAAAAAATTTTTTTTATGTTTACATCCATCATAATCTTGAAGATTGAAGTTCCCTCTTGTTTTAATGATGCCTTAAAACATTGCTGTACGATTCTTGTCTCTCATCATTAAACGTACAACATTGGAATTATGCGACAAAGATTTATGATAAATGACACAATCGAAAAATTGATTTTTCTTTTTCATGCTCTTAAAGCGATAATGGAAGAAACGTTTCTTTTTTTCTGTCGATTCTTCATCTGATGTCACAACTGGAATTAAATGCTTCGGTTTTAATGTTTACTTGTAATAACTGGCACTTCATAAAGTTTTTAGGTTTTGAAGTATGACTAAAAACACGTACATTTTCAAATATCGTTGCGGGACAAATTTTCATCTATTATCAATTGTTTTTACATTTATACTAATTATTTATACTAATTAACTTTATTTGTACTGATTAACATTAATTATTGCTTTCATTGATATATAATAATTTCGAGTTAAGGTCAGATTAGAAAGTTTTTTTTTTTTTTTTTTTTGATACATGTATTTTGTTTAACCTAGAATGTTTTTAACCACAGACTTTTGACTTTGTAGTTGAAAAATTAATATGATGAAAAATATGACATATTAAAATACGATATATTATTAAGATTTCATTTGCAATTTTAGTCAATTTGTATCATGAAATTTCGTTTTTCAATGTTGTAATTGTGAAAACCAATTTTAAAGATTTGATATATTTTTTTTTATAGCTCGAAAACGATATAACATCACTTTACTCATTTTTCGTTTGTGTTTGATTTTTAAAGAATTAAATAATTAGCTTTTTTAGTTAACTAACTTTTTAGACTAATACTCTAATATAATAATAATAATAATAATAATAATAATAATAATAATAATTCAAAATATTTATTTCTTACGAAACGTTCAAAATACGATATTCTTACGAAATATTCAAAATGAACGTTTATCTGTTTATCTTCGTGATTATCAATATTTTTAATGTCCAATACTCGTTTTAATGTCCAAATCGTTTATTTCTCATTATCAGAAAATGAATTCTGTCACGAATTCTCGTTTCACCAACTTCAACAAAAAAAAAAAAAAAAGTTTCACATATTTTTAAGAAAATTTTAACACGAGACTCTGCAATGACAATTTACCCATAGTCGATAATAATAATTCCTTCATATTTCAAAAATTTCCTGACGATGACAGGAAATACGATTGAGTTCGAAATGTCCCAATGGTACGCCAATAAGATCAAAGAATTAAAATAATATTTAATTCCGTCGATCTTTCACAACATCGGTTACAGATTAAAAATATAAAGTACAAAAGTGTACGGGACGCGCATAAAAAATATATATATATATATATATTTTTTATTATATATATATAATATATTTTTTATTTTATATATACAATATATATATATATTTTTTATTTTATAATATATTTTTTCATATTATACATATGAAACATCCGAAATGCAACATTCAGCGGGTAAAGTAAATTTCTCCCTTTGGACTCCGTTTCTTCGGTCGTATTTATAAAACATAAATCTGCATAAATATTCGCGATCTAATTGCACACGCGCGGCAAGAACAGGCTTACGAACGGAGTTCACTGTGCGCGCAGCAAATGGAAAATCTCGATGTTAGGCACTTGAATAACGTATATTTGAATTTAACGTGTGCAAAAATTTTGAACGTGTCGTATACATATGGCCGACAAAAACTAGTCCGTTATAGACCGGGACGGATACATTTGAACGTGTTTCGTTCGTACCAACCAGATTGGGTATAATACGCACACACACAATGTAGCTTCAACGCACATTGTGTACACGCAACTTGTAATGATTTTTTGTAGGCGATAAGACAGCGTCGGCCGAATCAAACACAACGTTCGAAATTCCGCATCGAAGATGCACACAATGAAAATTCGTATCACGATTTATTTACTTGCCTCGCCACTTATCGGAATCGAAGTCGTTAAATTCTCATTCAAAGCAAGTATACATGTATACGCGAGTATCATCTGAGGCTGTGTCTAAGCTTTCGCAAAAAAAACTGAATTGTTCATTATTTATTAATTCTGACTGTAACTGGTCGATGATTATGTTTTCTTCCGCTAGAAAGCGTACGATGGAACGTACGCTTATCGTGGCTAACAAGGCGGTTCTTATTCTTTCATCCTCGTTCCTTCCACGTGGAAAACAAACATTCGTCAATCCGCGCAAAAAGTAAAAAAGCCAACGTTCATTAATCCCCTGTTTTCCCCAGGAATCGACAATCGGTAACATTTTCAGAATTCAAAACCCTCGCCCCTTGTGAAAACTACGAAAAGGGACTCGTACACTTCGAAATGAAATCACGAGTTTATTTTCTACGAACGAGACGATTCGAGCGAGATTTAACCTCGACGGGCGAAAAATCGAATGTAAAATCAAACGGGACGAGCGAGCTCGATGGTCGAACCTCGACGAAACGAAACGAAACGAAATGAAACGTTAATTCGTAACGATATTAACAGAGAACGGGGGATATATTAAGCGGACAAAAATGTAAGCAACATGAAACGTTGTATCGATAAACGTTCGTTTACTTACCGCCTGTGGATGCTTGCCAGTGACGAGAAATCTCACGTGCCATGGGAGCTCCGATTCACGATTTGCCGATATCACGATCACCAAACTGTTTCACTTGCACGCTAGTAGCGATTGTCGTTTCTTTAGTACGTTAAACAAAATTAATGACGATCGTGATGAAAAATTTCCCGATCGACTTACACTTTTAGCCGGTTCCCTCCGTGATCGTGGCCGCGAGAAGACTGGCTGCACGCGGAATCAGTGTTGCCAACCAAACCCATTGAAATTCTCTCGTCCATGAGACGAACACTTCTCGGACGATTTACGGATCGAAAAGAGAATCTAAGATGGAACCATTATGGGCCATTGAGCAGCTAAACGATGAAATAACGCGTTGAAATTTGCCAATATTGCGGAAACCTGCAAATAAAATGTAGACTTACGTGTTGTTTAAAAAAAAACAGAAAAAAATATTAGAATAATGTAAGATATAATAAAATTAATAATAATTAATAATAAAAGATATAAATGGGAGATATGGAGGAAAAAAATTTTTCTTGCGATATAAATATTTTAATTTCTTCGAATCTCTTGCAAAATAAGTGGGGAGAACAGCAGAGGTCAAATGAATTTTTTTTTTTTACTGTACAGTAAATGAACAACGTATTAAACTATTAAGTTCATATTTTTTGCTTGAAACTGTTTATACTAACGAACCTTTCGTTCTTTCGATCAAGATACATATGTATTTTATTCGTCGCACGATCAAGGATTCATTTACCATTTTCTATTAATTAATAAAACAATAAAAGCTTGTATCCTCTCTTTATAGGTAGCCACATTCTGTTGGAGAAATTACGGAAATATAAACCGAAGATCGCTGTGTTTAACGGTAAACTCATATACGAGGTATTCTCTGGGAAGAAGGAGTTTGGATTCGGTAGACAACCTAACTTGGTAGAGGGCACAAATACGGTAAGAGAGGGCAGATTTTCGAAACGATTCCTTCGAAAGGAATATCTGAATGAAAATCTCGTCAGTAACGAGCGAACACGTTTGATTTCAGTACATGTGGGTGATGCCATCGAGTAGCGCGAGATGCGCGCAACTACCACGGGCGGCGGACAAAGTGCCATATTACGCGGCGCTGAAGAAGTTTCGCGATTACTTGAACGGCACGATCTCTCATCTAGATGAGTCGGACATAGTGTTCGCGGACTCGAAGCTGAAGAAGAAGGAACAAGAGGCGATCGAGGATAAAAAGCCGGCGTTCTGCGAGGAGCTTACGAACGAGGGAGAAAGCAGAATCACCGAGGCGAATGGAACCGGCATGAAACAAGACTCCAACTCCCAGATACCCGGCAAGAAGAAAAGAGGCAGGCCAAAGAAGATAAAGAACCCGGAAGATCAACCGCCGCCGGATCCCGAGAAATTAGACGCGAACGGGGAAGTGATAAAGAAACGGCGAGGACGGCCGAAAAAGATACATCAACAGCAAAAGCAACAGGAACGGGAGATGAGAGAACAGCAGCAGCAACATCAACAACAACATCAGGGTATGGGCCATCTCGGGGACGGCTACGGTGCCGTGGTACCCAACTGTTTCTCCCCGCCGAAGACATTTGCTCATATGGCTCCCTATCCACAACCGATGAACGATTCTGGATTTTACGGACAGGGTATCAACGACAGCCCGTATAGTATAAATGCAAAACAAAGCCCGGTACACTTGCAACACTACAGCCAAAGCCCGAAATCCATGTCGCTCTCGTTTACTCATTCCGATCTATCCTCGGAGATCAACACCGCGATTTCTTCGGAGAACAACTTGGAGCCGTCGCCGTTGACATCCCCAAGCGTCGAACATCCGGATTTCGAACCCCCTACCAGTATCTCGCAGCAGAATATGAACAACGATCATCGTCAGTACAATCCAGCTGGGAACGGCGAGAATCCGGGTCATCATGGTAGCCCGGGTACGCCGTCCCATCAGAGCTACACCAGCTACATGGGCTATCACGACCAAACCTCCGAGCCCCACAATCCTCATCCCCATCAGACTACGCCGACACCGTTGAGCCAAACTACCGACGACCATTCGCATCACTCCCATCCGACTCCCCCGCATACGCATCCGCATACGCCGACACACGCCTCGATGTCACCTCACCACCATCCGCACGAGCAGTACGCCATGAAGAGAAACGCCGGACAGGACGTGGCCTCGAAAAGTCTCAGCGACTTGGAATCTCTAGTCGATCAGATACCGAGCATAGCCGACGGCGGTAGCCAACGTCTACAGCACGCGCATCCCGGGATGACCGACGACGGATCTCTCGCGGAAAAAATGGAAGCACATCATCAGTCTTATTTGTCGGGATTCTCCGGCATGCCTAACGCCGGCATGTCCAATTACAGCCCTCCCTTGGCGCCCACCGGTGCGATCTATCCATCTTCGTTACATCATTCTCCCAACGACGGTTACGGCTCTCTTTACGGCATGAACGGACGCCAGCATCAGGACTCCCAGCAGCAGCAGCAACAGCAGCAGCAACAGCAGCAACAGCAACAGCAGCAACAGCAGCAGCAGCAGCATCAACAGCAACAGCAACAGCAACATAGTAAATCGTACACAGTTGAAAATCTAGCGTCTAGCAATTACACGCCGAGCATGAGCCACGGTCATCCTGGTAACTCGTATCCGAATATTATTCCTGGACCTCATTATCCCGTACCGATGGGATCGACGAACGGGTATCTTTTTGGTGGCCTTGAATCAAGCTTGATGCAACGCACCTACGGGATGAGCGGTATGAGCGGCATGGGGGGAATGCATCCATCCCTCGGTCACATGGCGAATCCTTATTCCTACAATGGTTCGTACTCTAGTTCCTTCGACGCCTATCCGGCCCCGCCAGCAGGGATTCACGCGCCCAGCGCTAATTATCCCGGCGGTTACGCGAGCGTTGGTAGCGCGACTCCAGGTACTTCTACGCCACCGTCTTACCTTCCTTCCCATCACAGACCGTCAGTCGACCTCGCTTACGACGGTGTATGATAATCGATGTAAAGCTATTATCCGACGTACATACGCGCACGCTCACACACACTTACACACATGTACACGCGCGCGCGCGCACACACACGCACGCACACACACGCGCACACACA